AGAACCAAAAGAGATTATGTAAAGGTGCAAATTTCCAATGATGAATGTCATTATATTGTATACCTAAAATGTACCAATAAAATTAATTAAAAAAAGAAGTTCCTAGTCCAGGATCACTTCATCCAGCACTTGCCAACTTTCAAACATCTCAGCAGCATTGTATGATTTTGTCCTCATCACAAAGACCCAATGCGGTAACATACTGACCTACTTCACAGCTGAGAAAAGTAAGGGAGAGGTGGTAGAAATGGAGGGCAAAAGTTATGGGACTTAGCCAGCCTGAATAAGGGGCTGCTATAGTGGCATGCAGGGCCTAATTAATCACTTAATTAATTAGTTAAGTAAATATATAGCAGATGGTAGTTTTTCTACTAAGAAAAAGAGAGGAAAAATAGATTTACTGAAACACTGGGAATTTAAATCAGATCCTTGAGACTATTTCCCCCAAATATACTGGCACACCCCACTTTATGGAATAGAGAGTCCAAAAAGTTGTACTAAATATAAATTGCTTCTATATTCATGAGCATGTTATTTCTATAAATATCTATCATATATCTCTTAAGTGTATGACACACTGGAGAAATGGAAAATGAAGAAAAACTCATGTGCACTAAAGAAGTTTGCCACACAGTAGAAGAGCACGAAAGAGATGCAGATGCAATGGCATCAGGAAGTGTCCCCGGGTTTGCAGAGGAGGCTGAGGCCTGTGCGTACAGCAAGCCATCAAGAGAGGCCTTTGGAAAAGGCACCTTTGAACCTGGAGGAGGTCTGATTTGCACAAATGGAGAAGGTGGGCCAACCTGCCAGATGTTGGGGCTGGTGGTAAAGAGGCCCATCAGAAGCCAAAAGGCACCAGACGTCCTCCCAGAGCCCAAGTGGCTGGATGTGGGCCACTTCTACTGAGACTTCCCTTATAGTGCTTGGGAGCAGAGGATGCCCAGAGAACATGAACTGAATTCTATCATTATGTGGATTCTCCCCCGTTAGGTTGTGCCTTTGACAAAAGTGAAGCAGTGTCTGTGTGCTTCCTGGATATCAGTGATACACTTCTTTCTGGCAGGGAGATGGCAAAACATCTCCTTCCCAATTATATTTGGATATTATTTTGAGTATAAATTTGTCCCGGTGCAGGCTCACAGATTGGCTGAATTGTGCTTCTCCACTTTGGACCCCAGAGAGAATTGGTCTAGCAGGCCACTTTGAAAAAGATCTGGGCATTTGTGAAGGCTTAAGTTCAATCCTCAGCAATACAAAAGACAAACAAATAAAAGTACTGCTTTAGGTTAAAAATCAAAAAGACCTAGTATTATGGAGATTCCTCAAAAATTAAAACTAGAGGTTCCATTTGACCCAGCTATTTCCCTTCTTGGAATCTTCCTGAAAGAATTAAAATCATCATACCATAGTAATGTATGCATAATCTATGTTTATAGCAGCAGAATTTATAATACCTAAATCTTGAAAAGAGCCCATATGCCCATCAAAACATGAGTGGATAAAGAAAATGGGATATTTACATACAATGAAGGGCTGGGGATTTAGCTCAGTGGTGCCGCCACCTGCTTCGCAAGCACAAGGTCCTGAGTTTGATCCCTGGTACCAAAAAAAAAGTAGCTACACACAATGAAGTACTACTCTGCTATAAAGAAGAATAAACTTGAGGCATTTATAGGAAAATGGATGCACCTCAAGACTATAATCTTAAGTGAAATAAGTGACACACAAATTTAAATATCACATTGCTTCTCTTGTGTGAGGAATCCAAAGGGTAAATAAGGAGCAAAATGGGGATAGACATTGGGAAGTAGGAAGAACATGTTCAAATGAGAGGGGGAACAAGGGAGAGGGGAGAGGGAAGGGAAGGAAGGGAAAAGAAAAAAAGACAATTGAAGGAAAACAAAACTTTTGTAAATGGGAGAGGAAGAAGGGTTGAAGGGAGGAGAGGGAAATAGGAAAAAAAGAATTAAGATATATTATGTACAGGTACAAATGCCCTACGATGAATGTGATCATTATGTATGACAAATATGTACTATGTTTTTAAGGTAAGAAAAACACTTAGAATTTCCAGCTAAGCAAGTTTTGTACCATCCCAGATTTGAGTACCTTTGTGTGCTGAGCCCAAAGATGTGTAGCTGTACAATTCTGGGCTCAGAGCTCACCTACCCTGCATGGGCTGCAAGCAGCTGTTCTCCTGGCTGTCATCACTAGATTACTTTTACCACCATTGCCCCTGCTCAAGGGATAAACCCAAAGATGCAGTGTAAACTCCCTTCCCAGCAGGCTGTAGTCATGGGGATTAGGATGCCACCTGCTTTGTACCCTCATGGAATTATTGACCTCAGTGGCCTGGAATGGCCTCTGCAGTTATTTTTAAGCCAAATAGTTGTGAATTAGTCATCACATAGAATTTAATATGTGTGTTTCTTGGCCTCAAAACAGGAAACTTTGCTCAGTACACATGCAATATATTTACCTCAGGTGCATCATGTAATAAAATAGTGCTGCTCTGCAACAGTTGTTCATATTACAGTCCAGAATGATGGATTATCTTGAGCCTTTAGCTGCCCATTTTGGTCTCCAAAAGAGAATTGCATCAGAGATTCTTTCCTATATACAGGCTTGGCCCAAGATCTGACATTATTTTGATATTCTCCCTCACAAACCAAGAGCCATCAGGGGTTTTCTCCCTGGATCAACAGGAGGGATACAATAGGCTTTCTAGCTTATGGAAATTCTCCTAAGGTCGAGTTTTTGGTTGTGAGTCCTACTGCTTCCTGGATGGCTGGGCTGGCCCCTCACCCAGAGGTCTTCCCTACCACTCACTTCCTGTGGACTCTAGTTCTTCATTGCATGCCTGGCATTTGGTCAACAGCTTGATCTTCCTGCCACATCCACTAGGTTTTCTAGGGCCTCACTCACAGCCTGCTGCCTTCCTGGCTGCTTGGTCTCCCTGTCTCACCCTCCCTAGAACATCTGAATTCTTTCTACAAAGGGACAGTTCATTATGTTCCTGAAGGTTCTATCTTCACCATGTGCCTGACTGAATCACAGCATCTTATAGGAAAACTACGTGGTCCATATTTTCCAGCCCTTTCTTCTCCTTGTACTTGGCTCTGATTCTTTTCTCAACCATTGACTTAGCTCTCTAGACCTAGTTAAGCATCCCATCTTTGCAAATCCCTACTGCCTATGTTGATATTACATGTATACCATGTCTGCAAGAAAAACCATACGATCCAGCACCTCTACTTCTAGGAGTATAAATGAAAGAATTGAAAGTGGGGACTTGAATAGATCTCTGTATACTAATGTCCATAGCATCACTATTCATAACAGCCAAAAGGTAGAAACAATACAAATGCCCATCAACTAAGTGGATAAGCAAAATGTGGTATATTCATCAATGGAATAGTATTTAGCCATAAAAATCAATGAAATTGCAATACATGGATGAACCTTGAAGACATTTTGCTAAGTGAAATAAAGCAGATACAAACAGAAAAATACAGTATGAATACAAGACTTATACAGGATAAATACTTATATAAAATATCTAGAAATGGCAAATTCACAGAGATAAAAGGAAGAGCAGAAGTTACTGGGAGCTGACGAAAGAGTGAGTGAGGAGTTATTTAATGAATGCAGTTTATGTTGGGAGATGATAGAAATGTTTTGGGTATAAATAGTGGTGATGCACACTCAGCATTGTGAATGTAGTTAATGCCACTGACTTGTACATTTACAAATGGTTAAAATGATATAGCCAGGCATGGGGGTGCACAAATGTAATTCCAATACTTGGGAGCTGAGGAAGGAGGATCACTGCAAGTTTGAGGCCAGCCTTGGCTACACACTGAGTTCAAGGTCGGCCTGAACTACATAGCGAGACCCTGTCTCAAAAAAATGATAAATGTTATGTGTATTTTACTACAACTTAAAACACCCTACCAAAAAAATCTCTCTTACTAGCACAGTACGAGTCACTGTGAACCAGCTTTCTTCTTCCAGTGTGCCCTTCACTCACTTTGCCTCTCAGCACATCTGTGGACAGCAGTTGGCACCTAGAAATGATCAGATATGAAAAACAGATGAGCTTACATACAAAGACAAGCAGCTTTACATTAAAGCCCTAGCCACTCCTGGCAGAGTTTATTCAGCAGCACCGCTGTGGCCCTTAACAATTACAAACACACCACCAGGAAAAGAGTCAAGACCTGGGTTTCCCAAGAAGGCAGAGAGAAGCGGTTGTAAAGGTGGAAGGCACCTTCATATGCCAGGAAGTGGGAACACTGAGCTCATGCCCCTGCCCTACACCTATTCCTCAAGCTTCTTTCTTGGATCAGCACAATTGTAAGAGAAACCTCAGCTCCAAGCAGCCATTCTGTCCCTGGCATAGTTGCTTCCCTGAGAGGGCAGTGTCTCTGGAATCTGTCCAAGACTAAAATGGACTTTTAGGGATCAAAGACTTAATTCACATGAAAAGCAAGGTTTACAGCTGGGTGGAATTACTGTTTAGTGCTTTTTTTTCTCCTTCCTATAATTTATTTCTAGTATGTCAGAAAACCCTGGAGAAAAAAAATGAATGTGTTTTTTTCAATTAGGACTCACTCTGGTAAAATTTCCATTATACTCCCCAAACCTCAAAATTAAAAAGACACCATGAGTACTAATTGAAATATCCCTCAATGTTCTAAATAATTCCTTTAAGATGTACTCTGTAATTTTTACTGTGTCTCTAAGCTTAAAATTTACTTTCTAGGGCCGGGGATTTAGCTCAGTGGTTCTGGCGCCTGCCTCGCAAGCACAAGGTCCCGAGTTCGATCCCCAGGTACCAAAAAAAAAAAAATTTTACTTTCTAAAGAGGCAAATGGTAGTGTCAGACAAAGATTGACACTCTGTATTGTACACGAAAAATAAAAGCACAGAAAGAACAGTAGCACCCTGCTTTGCTTTGCTTGTGTGAGAGATAGGAATAGCTCCAAGACCTCCTGACTCTTGAAATCCAGGCTTCTTTTTCAAGATACCATTATGAACAGATGTAATGCAGGAAGTAAGATCAGGTTTCTTAGCCAGGGCCAAAGAGACAAGTCAGCAGTATGAGAGGTCCTGAGAGGTGAGAGTTAAAGTACGTAGAACTCAGAATCTTCAGGTGTAAGAGAGCTGTTCCTATGCCTTAATTTTTCAGGCTATATATGTCCCCCACCAGCTGAGCCCAGCTGCCAGCTGTGCTGGGATGTTGCCTTGGCCAAAGGTCTATTAGCATAGTAGACAAAACCTAAGAGTAAGGGAGCTGTCCCTTGCCTTGGGTAGCCTGTAGTTCTAATCATGATGTCCAAAGTAACAGAGAAGCCTTGGATGCATAAGGATGTCCACACAGAAGGGGTGCGAGTCAGTGAATGGGACACCATGGCCAAATGCCCTGGCCAGATTCTGCATTGTAGTGCAGAGAAGCGTGTATCATGGGTTTCAGCTTGTGGCTAAGGACAGTCATCTCCAGCATGGTGAAGAGAGACAAATATAAGATCTGGGAAAGCTATTGCAGTGAGGGCCTGATTTGGGAGAAGAAACAGCAAACCAGATCAGATGTGCAAACTAGACAACCAGGGTGAGAGTTTAGGTATCATTTGGGAATTCTTCTGCTTGCAAGTAACGAGAACTTCTGCTTGCAACTAACAGTGCCTTAAACTTTAAGAATGTTTATTCGCCGAATGAAGAGTGCAAAGATAAGCAGTCCTAGGATTCTTCAAGCAGCTCAACAATGTCACTGAAAGATCAGCCTCTTTTCATCCTTACCCCCTGCCATTCCTCAGCATATTAGCTTTTTTCTTTTTACCTTGGACATGTTACCTAATGACCTCAAAATGGTTGTCATAGCAATAAGTATCATATCATCACATAACTTTCCCAAAGGCAGAAAGTGGGGGAAATGTTTCTCTGAAGAATTCTCCTTATATCTCTCTAACAAGAGCTATGTCACGTCACTGCCCATAATAGCAAGTAATATTTGGCCTTTTCATTTCTCTAATGTAGCGGAGGCTACAGTATGGCTCAGAGGCTGAGCTTGATGAGATGTGCTGGTGTCCAGAGTATCTCATCAAGCATCCCAAACACCAGGCTTGGACAACCAGACCAATTCTAGACCCCATTTCCCAGTGGGGATGTGGCTTATAATATACTTATGTGGGTAGCGCAGGGTTTGTATGGGACCAAGCATTTACCGAAGGTATTTAGCAAGACAAATGTTTCTGGAAAAATCCTCTTATCCTAAAACTGCGTGCATGAAATGCTCTCTTCATATGAGAAACAAACCCATCATTCCACCCTTCTAGGAGCCTACTCGCCACTACTGATTAACATTGATGTCAGGAACTTCCAGGCCTGTCCTGGCCCCATTCGGGTGAGGAGTGACATTACCATCGTGGGGCTGCCCGTGCTCCTCCTAGTGAAAAAAAAAAGTTGAGTAAAGCTGCTCCTTCAAACTCTGGCCTCCTCCAATGCCCTTTGGGATGTCAGGGCCTCAAACTGCTTCCTGTGGTGGGCTGAAATCTTGGCAACTGAGTGTCCTGATAAAGCCAGACAAAGCCTCTCCTGACTAACACAATTCCAAGTCACAGCAGCTGTAACCAGAGGCAACAGTGATACCTAACATTTATGTAGCTCTTCTTATGAGCCAGAAACATGTTCAACGCCCTTTGTAGGCCCAACTCATTCGGCCCTCAGAACAACCATGTGAAGAGATGCTATTATCATCACCCCATTTTTTTTCACAGATGAGGAAACTGAGGCACGAAGAAGTTAAAGAACTTGCTTGAGGTCACATAACTAGTAAGTGGCAAAGCCAGGAGTTGAAGCTGTGTGGCCTGGCTCCAGAATCGATGATCTTAACCACTAAATTGCAATGCTCTGACAAATACAAAAGGAAAGTACAGCTCACAGAGGCAGTAGAAAACATGAAGATGAAGAAGAAAGAGGGGGCATTTCATTTCATCCATTGGCATCCAGGGTGTGGAGCCTTTACCCAGTACTGGGGGTAAAATACTGTAGGTCATGGAGGCATCTACTGGGCTGTGATGACCACTGCATCTGGACAGCAGCATGCTGTGTTAATGAGAAGTCTAAATAGAGAGTGTATAATCCAAATATTTGTGATAAAAGCTGTCCCCATGGCTGGGACTATGCTCTGGGACAGGCAATATCAGACATGGCGTGTGTTAGGATGGAGTTGTCACTTGGGTTACATTTAACATGCCCACATAATAGAGTCTTCATGAACCTTTTTAAATATATAAACAAAACATTTCATCTCTCATGCAGTTACTTCAGAGAGATTTTATGGCTGCCTGCCTAATGCCAACATGAAATAGCTTTTGTCTCGACTGCTGGAGTCTTAGGTATCAATATCAGAAACATAAAAGTTGCTACTATTGGCTTTACTTTGTGTTTTTTTGTTTCTGAAATGCCAAATACAAAATCATGTTTCACTCAAGGCTCATTTTAAAGTTTGCTCACTGCTTTGTGAAATATACAAATTTTGAGTTATGAGGACTGTTTAATGAACTAGTGTGTTCAGGTTACAATGAAGAAAGTGAATCTCCTTCTGATAGTGGTAGAACTAACTCTATCAAGAGGAATACAAAAACTTCAAAAGCTCAAAAGTAATATTTAATCTCGGGGCTAGGGACATAGCTCAGTGATAGAGCATGGACCTAGCATTTGTGAGGCCTTGGTTAGATACCTAGCACCAAAATTTTTTTAACTTAAGTCAGACATTTAGGATTTGCTTCTGGATGATGTGTGAATCACAGGGCAGGTATACAATACATTCAGCCAAAGGGTGACTCTCTATTGAATGACATAATCCAATTGTGGGACAACCATTACCTCACCCTCTGCTGTGACATACAATGTGTGACATTAATGACATATATGACAAGTAATCACTGATTGTCCTAAGTCAAACTCTGATCATTTTTAACACTTGACTATAAATCTGAGCAATTTAAAAGACTGTTTTGCTTTGCTAAGATGGCAATTGAAATTTAGTATTTAGGGTACCAGAAAAAACCTATTAATTTAGAAGTTCCTTCTAGTACTGATCAGAGGAATGGCCTGCTATGAGAAGACGGGTCACATGGAATGGTACCAGTTAAGGAAGATCCTTCAAAGGCCCAGCTACAGAGCTAATTCTCAAAATTGGTCCCACCCAAAAGTACATTATGATAAAGTCAGGAAGTTTTGTCTGTCAGCAATTCCTCACTTCCCTTTCTTGACCTGGTCCCCTTCATCTCACCCTCCCACCTCTCTCCCTGGCTTCTTCACTAGTGGAGAAAGGAATGGTCGGGGAAGGACCTCACAGTTATAGTCTCTTCTCGGACAAATCCGGCTGATCAGATTTATTCAGACATTGCTCATGCAGACTCATAGAAACTGAACTGGTAGCAGCATTATAAACTAGGAGCTCACAACCAGAATGCAGTTTTCATGTGGACCAATGGATAATATATATTCCTTCACTTACAAAACGGCCCACTTAAGGCAGAGGAAAACTGCAGCAGTTAGGACAGGGTAAGTTAGCCTCTGGTAGCAACTTCAAAACTTCAGTGGCTTACAACCAGAAAAGAGTATTTCTCCTTCAAACCTCATGTCGGTCCCATATCCCAGCTCTCCTCCTTGTCAAATTCACTCAGGCCACTGAAGCACAAGAAGAAAAAAAAAAGATCATGAACCAGGGGAGGGGCACTGGAGGAAAGAGGGGAGGGAATATTTGGGGAACAGTGATACAATTTGCCACAAGTGTTGAAATTCTCTCTCAGAAGAGCCCTAGGCTGAGTCAAAAACCTAGTTTCCCCTTATAGCTCTGCTGCCGAACTGATTCTCTCAATCTTGGACAAATCACTTCAGTTCTCTGAGCTTCATTTTTGCAATCAAGAAAAGAAGACATTCGACTCCGTCACTCTCAAGGTAACTTCCAGACTAAAGGATATAGACCAGAGGCTCCCTCTCACTAGCTAGATCCTGAAATGCACTGAAAAAGGTTTTGTTTTTTTTTTCTCTAAAAACT